CGGGGAGCGGGCGCAGAGGTGCCAGGTCGGCCGGCCAGGCATCTGCGCCCGCCGTCACCCCACCCACCGGGAAAGCGTTGTGGAAGGGCAGGGCAGGGGGCTGAGGTGACCCTGACCATTGTGTGCCCCTCACTCGATTCATTCTCCACCCGCTCCCCACTCGCCCCTGATGGGGGTGCTTGCAGGTTACTTAGGGTTCTCAGCCACCAGTCCCACACGGCTTTCCCAAGTCACCTTCCTGCGGCCTTCTAGGAGGCTCGGGGCCACGCTGGCCTTGACTGGGAGGAGTGGACGCTTCTAGGGTCAAGTCCCTGGTTTATCCAGCTTTACCCCCAAGCTGAAACCCCTGCAAAGGGCTTCCTAAATGCTGGCTGGCACAGGACTAGGCTCCAAGGGCAGTCGTGGGCTTCTGCCTTCCCCCTGTGGTCAGGAGGCTCATTGGGTTTCACTACTGAAAACCACCTGTCGCCTTTTTACATTTAAAAAAGGAAGTATTTCTGTATCTAAAGTCTGCAGTAGGGGCCGGCACACTGCGGCTCCTGCATGTGGCTCTGAAGTGAAATTGAAAATTAAAATAAAATGACCAAGCTTCATTTAAAGGATAGTATTCAGGTAATGCTGATTTCATTTGTTTATAAAAATATACTTATGGCTCTCGAATAATTTTTTAATTGTAGTGAAGGACAGGATTGGGTCTTTCATCGCAAAAGTTTGCTGATCTCTAGTCTAGAGAGTAATATGATAAACCCCATATGCCCAAGAGCCACCTTTAATAAATCTTAACATTATTTGATTTTGCTTTTTCAGAGAAGTAAAACGTTACAGAATCAGGGACACCCCAAATATGCCTGCTCTGGTACCACCCACCCCCTTTCCTCCCTGGAAGAAATTGCTGCTCTGGTTTTGTTTAGTAAATGCACAAACATACAGAAAACACAAAGGAAACTTCTGGAACCTAAACATACAGTCCCTGAAATATGAATGGCACTGGGTAGGTGGGCTCAGGAGCCGATTAAAATGTGCAAATGGAGAACGCAGTGACTTGAACCCACAGCCAGGCACCATCCAAAGCAGAGACCAGGCAAAGGGGCCTGAGAACATGGGAGTCAAGGCAGGTCTGTGGGCAGCACCCGGACCCCTCACCCCTGGAAAGGGAGCACCACGACACACAGAGAAAGGAAGGGCAAAACGAAGATCAAAATGCTCTCAACCGGATTAAACTATAAACCACAGATCGAAAGAGGTCCAAGAACCACAAGCAGAATCAACAAATCAAAAATATCAAACTAGAGCACAACATAATCAAATAGCTGCAAGCCAGCTAGAGACAAAATCTAGCAGTCAGAAGGGGAAAAAGGGCTCATTATAAACAAGAAAATTAAGATGACAATAATGGCTGAATTCTCATCGGGAACAATGGAAGGCAGAACACAGCAAACAATATCCTCAAAGTGCGACGAGAAAACAACGGACAAGCTGGATTCTATTTCCAACAAAAATGCCTTTCAAAGCGGAAGACAAAAGAAGACTGTCTTCAGACAAACAAAGGCTGAGATAATTCATCAGCAACAGACTTGCGCTACTAGAAGCGCTGAGACGCTGCAGCGTGAAGGGAAAGGGCACCAGAGGAGCCTGCCTGGACACAAAGGGACGGAAAGCAGCAAGTAAACTGATAGAAAGAAATGACATTCTTTTCCACGTTCCAATCCCTTTAAAAGCTAACAGACTGGAGAGGAGGAGGGAGGAGGGGAAAACCTAACAGATTGTTCCACGTGAGAATAACCACGATGTTTGTTCGGTAGGGGGCCCTGGTGGGACAGTGGGGTAAGCACTGAGCCACGAAGCAAAAGGTCAGTGGTTTGAGGACGCCCGTCACTCCACAAGTGAAGGATGGGGTGCGCTGCTTCTGGAAAGGAAACGCCAAAGACGTCTGCTGCACGCACTGCCACATGGTCCTGCAGGGTGGCTGTGAGCGGGAAGACTCGGCAAGCATGCCCGCTGAGCACGCTCCAACTCACAGGGACCCATGAGGATCAGAGCAGACCGGGGCTCTGAGATTTGGGGTCTGAACTGTAGGAGCAGATGGCCAGGACCAGGTTGCTCTGAGACTCCTCCAGGTACTCGGACCTCCAGCCTTCTGGTCAGCAGCTGGGCATTCTTACAAATAACACAGCGGTGAGGTGCCGTGTATTGCTATCAGGCTAAGCAGAAGGAGCATGAGGGGCTTGGAAAGAATGCCGGGAAGGGGCGTTCCTGACAGTGCCCACCGGGTTTGCTCTCCGAGTCTGACTGACTGCAGGACGATGTCTATTTGTCTCTGTAACCTGCATCCTGGCATCTTTCCAGATACAGCTTTACTTTCCACTTTGTCTGTAGGGTCCTTCGAGAACAAAGAGAAGCCCTGGCGATGAAGCGGGTCAAGCGCTGTGCTGCGAACTGAGAGCCTGGCACCTGGAGCCCATCCACCGCTCCTTGGGCAATAGCTGAGGCCCTTGCTTCCATAAAGACCCACAGGGGCAGTTCTGTGTCAGCACGGACGTGGCGGCGGTGGGTTTTATGAGCAGGGTTTTAACTTTAACATCATCAGTGGATCCTAAGAGCAGTGGTTCGCCACCTTCCTAATGCCACAACCCTTTCACATAGTTCCTCATGTGGTGACCCCCCCAACCATAAAATTACTTTCGTTGCTAATTCATAACTGCAATTTTGCTACTGTCATGAATCAGGCGACTGCTGTGAAAGAGTCGTTCGACCGCCAAAGAGATTGCAACCCACAGGTCGAGAACTGCTGGTTTAGAGGTTGCGCGCATGCTTCTCTGTAAAGAAATCTCTGTCTATCCCAAAGGTGGTTTTTCTCCTTAACTTTTTCTTCTTGAAACTTTAATTTGCCGTTTGCTTTCACACAATGGTGCAGAGCAAGCTCACCCCTGCAAGTGGTGCGAGGGGACTATATGGACAGAGCATAGGACACGCACAGGCCCCAGACATGCTCACTGCCCCAGCTCCCAACCACACGCATGGGTCTCACCACAAGCTTCCCATTCAGAAAGTCCAGCGGCTGCTCTGCGCTCCAGGAGACTGAGGGGGGGCTCTGCAAAAGGACCTGAGGTCTGGGCCAGAGAAGACGCCTCAGTAGCACACTCCAGCCTCAGGACACCAATGCTGCCTGTGTGGCACCCACCCACAGCCCTAGCACTGCGTCTGGCTCAAGATGCACATAGCACTACAGACCAGTGCCCGCCTTCCGGAGGCCTTGGCACCAGGTTCTTCCCATGTGGGACCAATGAGCACCTGCCCCCAAGGAAAGACAGGGAGTGCGGGTGGCCGATGAAAAGTTGCTCAGGAACATCGGCCTCCCCATAGGTTGTTGCAGCCATCATCTCACTGCTACAGGATGGCCATTGCCCTCCCCCCTCAATGTCCATGAAGTGGCAATGGCCCTGCCTGACCCCTAGTCTCATGTCTCCCACTTGTGAGCAGAAACACACTACCTTCAGATGCAGAAGGCTATATAAGATGCTCCAAATGACTGCAGCTGTGAAAATTGGGGCCCCGAGTCCCTTTCCTGTCTATTGTGGGGGCCCAGGCAGGTGCAGGAAGTGCACTGGACAGGCCCCCCCCCACACACACACACTTACTTGACAAACTTGTCCACGTGCGACATGGAGGCCTCATAGTTCTTCCCTCCAAACTCCTGGCAGTGCAGGGCCAGGAAGTGGGGCTTGTGGGTGTGGACGACCTGGGAAGAAGCAGACACAAGTCAGGGAGCGCTCCTTCCAGACCCACAGCTGCAGGCAGCACTGCCTCCAGCAGCCCGAGCCTGGGGGCAGCCCCGGAAGAGGAAGGCAGGGAAAGGGGCTACCAGGGCCCCATACCAAATCCCGGATACCCACCACGCTCACTCTCCCAGCAGCAGCCAAGTGCCCAGGTGCCCCCGTTCCCTGTCCGAGGAGGCTCCTGGCCTTCCTCAGTAATCTCAGTGTTTCCTCAGCAGAACCTGGTGGTGCCAGCTCATCTACTAACCTAGGTGGGCATTTGAATCCGCCTTGCAATGCTTCAGAAGAAAGGCCTAGGGATGGCTTTCTGGGAGTTTACAGCCAAGACATCCTGTGATAAGTGAGGGCCCCCATGAGCCGGCATCGGCTCAGCAAGAACAGAGTTAGCTGTTTTTTTCTTCTAGTTATGAAACGTGACCTGCGCAGTGCAGACCTTGCGGTCAGCCTGAAGAAGAGTCTGCCCAGCTCTCGCAGGGGAGAATGACCACAGTGACCACTAGGGCGCGCCCTTCCACAGGGCATGGGCACAGGAGTCTGTGGGTGTGCACGTGTCTGCATGTGTGGCTATATGTTTGGGTTTGCAAGTGTGTCTGTTATGGGTACACATGAACGTGTGTATGCATGTGTGAATGAGAGTGTGTGTGCATGCATAATACTTGTAGCAATGAAAGGCTGCCTTCCATCGATGCTTGTGAGGCATGCTGGGAGCATGGTCCCTGCATTACCTCGTAGAGCCCCCCAAACAGACCTACAAGCAGGCATTGCCCCATGCCCCTTCCTGTGTGGAGGAGGGCACCCACCATGCTGAAGCACAATGTGTCCCCTTCCCGGAGGGGACACCAAAGCACACCAGCCAGAGGAGGAGCATGTCCGGGGCCCTGCACTCCAGCCCTGGTCAGCCGCCGCGTGCGGCCAGGTCCCACTTCCCACATACTTAGTGGGCACCTGAGTCTCTTTCTAAACCCTTATTACTGAAACGGGGCCACTGCCCTTAGTCCGTGCAAGACCACACACCTGGAACCTGCCTGCTCCTACCAGTATCTGCACCCCACGCTGGCCCAACAAGTCCCACGCACCCTCCCTTTCAGCATCTCAGCACGCAGGCCCTCGATGCTTCTGGCTGCCCCAAATGCCACAAAATGGTGCTCCCTGCATTTAAGCAAGGGGGAGCAGAAATAGAACTTCAACAGAGAAGACTCATGTTCCATTTGAAAATGAAGTTATTTAAAACGACAAGATCTTTATGAGGAAGCTTCGGGAGGCAAACGACTGAGGAAAAGCGCCCAGTACTGAGTGAAAGGTACTGATGTCGCTGATGCTCCACGCCTACAAGCCAACCGCGCTCCAGGCCCCACAGGGAGTCTCCATGGCCCCAAGAGGCCGACAGTGGGATCATCACAGGTCTGCGGGCCCCTGTCGCAGGCCCCAGGCAGTCCAAGCACCGAAGGCACAGTGACCCCTCTGGGGAGTTTGGGATGGTGAAGATGAAGAAGGCTGAAATCGCTACTGAATTCTAAGAACCCCACATGTCCTTTAGGGAAGGCCATCAACAGCTAAGATGGGGGTCCCGGAAACAGTCCACCCATGAGCTCATACTGATACCACGGTGAGCCCCACACGGGCCAGCTTTGAGTGGAGACCCCACCCTGACAAGAGGACCCCACTCTGACAAGTGGCAGACAGAGAAGGAAGGAAGTATGTACTTCCAGGAAAGCATGTCTCTGCATGGTGGCATCCCAGGCAACACATGAAGACAAGAGGCAGAATCCCAATAAAACCTTTAAATCCTTTCCTTCAGAAGTGACATGAGAGGTTGCCACCATCACAGAGAGAGAGACTGTACCCCCTTGTGGGTGACTGCAGTACTGCCAGCGGGAAAGGGCTCGGGGTCTGATTGAGATCTGACGCCCACTGGGAGGACATGGTGGCTGAGCACAGGAAACCTGACACACGGCAGGGAGGCCAGAGTCAAGGTCTTGAAGGACCTGGGCCTATTCCTTTAGCAGAGAAGTTGCATTGAAAGAGACGAGGAAAGCAGAAGGCGCCAGAGCTGGCAGAGTAAGAGGACTCTAACGCTCTCAGCAGGAGCTCCAGTCCTGCTGTGTGAGTCCCCATGCCAATCCCTCGCACTGACGCCAATCAAAAGCCACAAGCAAAAGACAGCAAGCTGAGGACATGGCACAATGAACCAAGCAGGCCACTGTGGGGGCTCATCAAAATGTGCGGAGATGGACCCCACATTCCTTTCCCTAACACAGTTCGGCCCCCCATGGGGCTTGGCTGCAGGGCCGCATGGTGCAGATGGTATGAAATCCAGAAGAGCTCCCTCCTGTCTCTGACCAAGGTCCCACGAGGGTGAAAGAGGAAGTATTCAGACTCGCAGTCGACACACAAAACGCTCACGATGACTAGGATACAATCCAAAACGACTCACAGAGAGTCTGGGGGAAGTGAGCCACTCTTCAGGGAAAAGCAGCCAAGAGGAGAGCGGTATCTGGAATCATCAGACAAAGAAGACAGGGTGGCAACTGTAACTGCATCCTGTGAGGCACAAGGGAGCATGAAAAGATGGGCATCTCAGCAGAGAACAGCAATGGTGGAGGACAGCGAAAGCTGGAATTTCCAAAGCTAAACACCGAACTGGAAGCAAAGTCCAGAAGAGCTCAATCAGAGTGGAGGTGGCAGAAACCCAGCAGGCGGGTGCTGAGAAAACGTGACTTGCAGCCCAGGTATGTCCGAGGGACCATGTCACATCTCGGACCACCGAGAAGGGGATGAAGAGGAGATCGAAGCATTCAAAAAAGAATAAGAAATAGTAGCCAAAAATGTCTCCAATTTGGTGAAAGCCATGAATTTACAAATTCTGGAACCTCAGTGAACGAAACAAGATGAATTCAAAGAAACCCATCGCTCGATGCAACACGGACAAAGGGGAAACCTTAAAGGAGCTGGAGGGAAAAGAGTGCAGCGCATCTAGGAGACCCGAAATCCGAGTCACTGTGTTTCTAACAGAAACCTGGGGGCCAGAAGACAACAGAACAGTATCTTTACAGTACGGGGGGAAAGGGCGGTGGGGGTAGGGGGTGTCAGATCAACCTAGAATTCAATATCCAGTTAAATAAAGCCATTTTCTAGGTAGGAAAAAGAAATATCGACCAGCGAGCCTGCTCGATGTTGAAGGCAGAGATGGGACCAGGAGGGAGCCCCTGTAGTTGAAGACGCAGCAGTGGAAATGGCAACCGTCTGGGAACTGGCAACGATGGCCCTTTCCTCTGATGTTGAAATAGGATGATGAGACTTCCAGGTAGCTGAAGACGGTGGACGCTGCACACCAACCAACCCCGAAACCATCCCCAGATGACATGCGACCACAGGAAAAGTGGACGCAAACGCCACAAGAGGCAGCCCTTCCGCGGGCCTCATGGAGACAGAGGACTCGGAAGGTCACGGAAGGCCGAGAAGAGCCTCAAGCTCAGGTGCATTCTTGGCCAAGGCCCAGCCCGTGTGAAGGAGGGCAGCTGCCGGGGGGCTGTAAGCCAGCCTAGAACCCTGGGAGCACCCACCAGAGACCGCTCCACAGAAGAGCAGCAAAGTGGCAAACAGCTTCTGGGGGAAAGGGACCCAGAGAGGGAGGTGTGTGTGCCCCAGCATCTGGGGGATGAAGGAGAGAAAAAAATAAAACCGAAAAAATTGAGACTTTCAAGACAAACCCACAGGCCTGGAGCCGACGCTGACTCACAGTGACCCTAGGACAGAAGGGAAGTGCCTGCACGGTTTCCCAGGCTCCATCTTCACGGAAGCAGGCTGCCATATCATTCTCCTTGCAATGCGGTGAGTCCTTTAACATGGTTCTCCTAGACAGGGCCTTTGTTACTCGGCCCATATGACCTAGGTCTTCCTGGGGGGTCTGGCTGAGAAGGTGGAG